GAACTGGGATGCAACATTCATTAAACCCAAAGTGCCAACCATTAAAAGGGTGATGTTTACCATGTTACAGTTCAAATAGCAGATTTTTGTACAGAATAATTACAATTAGTCCTTTGACAAAAATGCAAGCTTCATATTTTTGCTTCTAAACCCTCAAGTACACTTGCCTCATAGACTTCGGTTTGTATGTGTTACTACAAACATTTTTTGCATATTGAGGGACAAATTAAACTTTTATTTGCACATGAACCTTTGAACCCAGAACTTAAATGGAAAGTCATATAACCCTGAAAATCCAACGCGACAGGTCTGTAAACCTCTACTTTCCCTAAGATGGTTCTGGCATCTTTCATTAACCTAGTCTTTTCTGAGTAGTTCATGGTTGTCTCAAAGCCTGCATTGCGGAAAACCACGTCTACCTTTTCTAAAACCCTCTCATGCATCCTATGAACATGAACTTGTGCTATTCTTGGCAGTCGCCCATCAACAATGAAGGAGAGTTGCCCCACTCAGGAACAGCAAAGAAAACACAGCTGAATGAACAAACTCCGCATTACAGGAAACTTTGCATGAATCAATGAGAAAATTAACCAAAAGCACTACAAATTAGCAGTTTTGACCCATTTGAGTAACTTTCCACCGTGACCATGTTGGCATTTTGACCCTGGCCTCGTCATGTGAGACTCAACCAAGATTGTCACGGGTGTCTCCTGTCTACACCACAGTGATGTTCAATGAGCAGATTTGTTCAAACAGTGAGCTGTTGTTGTCTTATGACCAACAGAGATGTCCACTTCAGAAGGGGTTTTGTAACCACAGAGAAGTGGATCAGCAGTGGAGGTGGTACCGATGATGAACAGCGGCTGTTTTTGTGCAGACACCCACGCCAGTATCCCCATGGACCAGTCAAAACAGCCCAACTGAATCAACAAAGTCGTGTTGCTGCTGCACTTCATGCAAGCGCTCATGGACTGAGCACAAGTAAACAGCCTTAAAGTCAGCTGGAAATGAAACTTGACCCTATTAATTTCCTAAACCCATCATAGAACTTACTGTATGACCTTATTAGTTTTAAATGACCTAATTCTGTCTCCATCTCATATTTGATTTTTTATTTAATCTCTGACCTGAGATCAACCCAAGATTCAGTCAGTGTCCTCCAAGATCAACCGAAGCTAATATGTTAAAGAGGAAATGAATGCAAACCCGCCCTGTTACTCAAGTCCAGAGTCTGAAGTCATCCTGCAAAGTGAAAAATAAAAACATCCCCTATTTTACCTAATGAACTCAATGCAGTGGATTAGACTCTGCTTGTGCAAATTGTGTGCCAAAAGACATACTGAGTACAATTTGTTTTAGAGACGTATTGAGTAAGACTTTTGTACCTTTTTACAAAATGCCTGGAGTGTATAATGTTCCTGCTTTTAGACACATCACATTGTGCCTCCAATAAACCAACAAATGAGGGCAGCACATCACAACAGATCCTGAAAATGTTATACAGTTTTGTGTATATCATAATGGAAGAACCTTTTTTCCAGGCTTGATGTTTTACAGATATATGATAAGGAATGTACCATCTTGAATGTACAGAATGTAATCTTGGGTTTGAGGCATAGCGTGGCTAAGTGGGACGTTTCTGGATCTACATCTTTTATTGGTCAACAATTTTCCTCTGTCTGATTGTTGTTATATATTATATGTTACATATATGTTACAGATATATGTAGGGTACAAGTATGTAATACAAGCTCTATTGGATATTATTGCTATTTATGAAAACATGACCAGAAATGTTCCATTAAATATTTAGATATAACCCTAATAATCCTATAACCATCAAACCCCATATCTTATCCAAATCCTAAACATAACCCACCAATAAAATTAAATTAAATTAAAATGAACATAAAATTCAACCTATTTCTAGTACTAACCCTATACACTCTCAGAAAAAAAGGTAGAAACACGTCTACCTTTTCTAAAACCCTCTCATGCATCCTATGAACATGAACTTGTGCTATTCTTGGCAGTCGCCCATCAACAATGAAGGAGAGTTGCCCCACTCAGGAACAGCAAAGAAAACACAGCTGAATGAACAAACTCCGCATTACAGGAAACTTTGCATGAATCAATGAGAAAATTAACCAAAAGCACTACAAATTAGCAGTTTTGACCCATTTGAGTAACTTTCCACCGTGACCATGTTGGCATTTTGACCCTGGCCTCGTCATGTGAGACTCAACCAAGATTGTCACGGGTGTCTCCTGTCTACACCACAGTGATGTTCAATGAGCAGATTTGTTCAAACAGTGAGCTGTTGTTGTCTTATGACCAACAGAGATGTCCACTTCAGAAGGGGTTTTGTAACCACAGAGAAGTGGATCAGCAGTGGAGGTGGTACCGATGATGAACAGCGGCTGTTTTTGTGCAGACACCCACGCCAGTATCCCCATGGACCAGTCAAAACAGCCCAACTGAATCAACAAAGTCGTGTTGCTGCTGCACTTCATGCAAGCGCTCATGGACTAAGCACAAGTAAACAGCCTTAAAGTCAGCTGGAAATGAAACTTGACCCTATTAATTTCCTAAACCCATCATAGAACTTACTGTATGACCTTATTAGTTTTAAATGACCTAATTCTGTCTCCATCTCATATTTGATTTTTTATTTAATCTCTGACCTGAGATCAACCCAAGATTCAGTCAGTGTCCTCCAAGATCAACCGAAGCTAATATGTTAAAGAGGAAATGAATGCAAACCCGCCCTGTTACTCAAGTCCAGAGTCTGAAGTCATCCTGCAAAGTGAAAAATAAAAACATCCCCTATTTTACCTAATGAACTCAATGCAGTGGATTAGACTCTGCTTGTGCAAATTGTGTGCCAAAAGACATACTGAGTACAATTTGTTTTAGAGACGTATTGAGTAAGACTTTTGTACCTTTTTACAAAATGCCTGGAGTGTATAATGTTCCTGCTTTTAGACACATCACATTGTGCCTCCAATAAACCAACAAATGAGGGCAGCACATCACAACAGATCCTGAAAATGTTATACAGTTTTGTGTATATCATAATGGAAGAACCTTTTTTCCAGGCTTGATGTTTTACAGATATATGATAAGGAATGTACCATCTTGAATGTACAGAATGTAATCTTGGGTTTGAGGCATAGCGTGGCTAAGTGGGACGTTTCTGGATCTACATCTTTTATTGGTCAACAATTTTCCTCTGTCTGATTGTTGTTATATATTATATGTTACATATATGTTACAGATATATGTAGGGTACAAGTATGTAATACAAGCTCTATTGGATATTATTGCTATTTATGAAAACATGACCAGAAATGTTCCATTAAATATTTAGATATAACCGTAATAATCCTATAACCATCAAACCCCATATCTTATCCAAATCCTAAACATAACCCACCAATAAAATTAAAATGAACATAAAATTCAACCTATTTCTAGTACTAACTCTATACACTCTCAGAAAAAAAGGTAGAAAAGCTGTCACTGGGATGGTACCCTTTCAAAACATATCTTTGTACCTAATTATTTACCACTAAAGTATGCATTTTAGTAATGTGATGGTACATATTTGTAACTAAAGCGTACATATTAATACCTAAATGGTACATATTACCACCCCAGTGACAGCTTTTCTACCTTTTTTTCTTCCTGATAGTGTAACCCTAACTGCAAATTCTGATGTGTTAATTGATCCAGGAACAGGTATTTCTGTGAAAACCATGTTAAGTGAGTTCTGAGGTCATTTGTGATATGGGACCAATATGTACTAGAAGAACTCCAACGGTGTGCTCAGCAATTTGGTGTGATTTTGGAGAATAACTCTACAAGGGCAATAATATTCAGTCAGAGTTTTATGTGTCCCTCGCTGTCCAAACTGTTTCAGGCTTGTGAGGTGAAGCAGACGTTGAAGAAGAATGGGTCTGATACATAATTGATGAAACACTACGAATCATTAATGCTATGAAGAAAATATGTTATTTTAATATGAAATCAAGCATGACAAATCGCTAAAGAATGGATCAGACCTCAAGAGACCAGATCTACACAGCAGGACATCTATTAAAACCTCTAATAAACTATCAGGAATTGTTAATAGAGCAATTCTGGGCACTCGCTTCCTCAATATTCCCTGCTAGATTGTTTCTTGCTGGTTCAATCTAGTTTTGCATCACTCTAATCGACCTTAAAAAATGCATTAGTTCTTGATGATTGTGAAGTCAAACAGCATTACACTGAAACGGTTTAAAAACATTAACCTTCTTTAATTTCGTTTCGGAAATTGCCGTCTGACAAACACAGACACACATTTAAGGAAGAGAAGGTATTCCAAGATAATAGTCATCCTCTAATGGCCCACGATTCTGTTTCAAATAATGTGTAAATATAAAAAATATGTAGAAAGCTGAATACAGGCAACAACATTTCATGATGATCTGCTGATGTATAGGCTACATAAGGACGAAATATAAGGTCTGTTCCAAAACCTAGTGAACTACCTGCCATACATGACCGATTTTGAAAACACATAGGCAGCCACTCTGCATGCAGTTTCCCTCACGGTGACTCACTGTAGTTAGCCATTAGCATGTTGCTAATCTAACAGCATGATACTCTACCCAGATAGCACACACCTGTTTTCATACATTCTAAACCATAAACATCTTCAAGACATTTTCTACATGTCATTTTTAACATCTGACAGGAAACATTTTAGAGACAGACGTATTGCAGATGAAACCAGATGAAAAGTACTACACATCAAAAAAACATCTACACCATATAAATGTGCTATAAGATGAATTCTTACGAAAATTAACCATGGTTTTACTACAAATTAAAAAAAAAAAATACACGGTTACCATGGTAACCACAAATTAACCATGGTTTTGCTACACTAACCATAATTTAACCATGGTATTTGTAGTAAAACTATGGTTATACAAATGGTAATCAGTCTGCCAAAAAAACATGGTTACTACACTTTTAATATAATAAAACCATGGTTAATTTTCGTAAGGGAGGCATACAAATAAATTGCACACATAAAAATGGGTAAAACAATTATTTTTAATTACATCGAATTAGTTTAGTAGATACTTTTCAGTAATGAATAAAACATACGATTATAATCAACATTTACCTGCTTCATTCACCATCTTGAATGGAATCATTCTGCTCATCACAAGCTTAGGCAGCTTACTAGGTTTTGGAACAGCATAGTTATATACATTTAGGAGTGTTAGTGAACTAGCCAGCACTAGATTCTCATATCTATTTACAAAGGGCTCATTCTAACATGGCATACTAGTGAATAAACAGAAAATGACTTGGAAGATATGGGGAGAAAAAGTGAGAAAGGACATTTCCTGTTTATTCACTAGTATGCCATGTTAGAATGAGCCCTTTGTAAATAGATATGAGAATCTAGTGCTGGCTAGTTCACTAAGCTGAGAACAATATTCAGGCTGGATGATGGTTGGACTGGAAAGTGTTCACTATGGTTTCTAGAAGGAGTGTGGCTCCGGACACACACTCAGTAAAAGTCTGAGAACCAGCTCATAGGTGAGCATGAGGGAGGTCAAGGGTCAATCTCCTCAGGAATGATTGTGAGGATGACGTCTTCATTGCCGCGTCGTACCACTGTTCTCAGACTGTCGTCTTTCTTGATAGCCGTGCTGACATCACTGGCTGACGTGATCCTCTGACCGTTAATGCTGATTATGACGTCACTCTCCTTCAGACCGCCACTGGCAAACAAAACAGGAAGCAGTTAAAACTGACCTAATTTTAAGTCAGAACTGCCCTTATTGTTCTAACTGTGCTTTAATTGGCTTCACATCATTGGATTCTCATTACAAAACAGTATTAGGTTTTATTAGGAGGTGCATGTCATTATGTCTAAGCTAACTTTAAAGGGATCATGAACTGAGAAATCAAAATTCTCTTGATCTTTTGAAATATAAGAGGCCATTGTACTATAAAAACATCTTGCAAGTTTCAGAACTCAAAACTTTCTCATTAGTCTAAAAACAGCTTATATTGAAGCCGGTCTGCCAAAACGACAGCTTGTGGAATGGACAACTCTATGATGTAATAGTGTGGCTAAACACCGCCTTCACAGAAGATGATCAACGCCTGCTTCTACATCGCTGCCTATTTAGCCCCGCCCATCGATTCGTGCATGTAGCGTTTACGAGAGAGGTGAACACGCAGGTCTGCGCAGAAACCAAACGACAAAGATGGCAACAAGATGCTGTGCAGTACCAAGTTGTGGAAAAACAGTCTTTGCATTGCCTTGAGCGTTTACTTCAGTGAGCGTTTACTTCCGAGTCTACAATCCGCCATGCCTATTCAAACGGAGCGTTCAGATGAGGGGGGTGAAAAACAGGACAGACAATAGCCTATTACTTCTTAATTATGATGGTTTTGTGATGTAAAAATCTTGATAACATTATAAGTGGACCTCAGAGAACAGTACAAAATAAAAAAAAAGTGGCAGTTCATGACCGCTTTAAGCTTGATTGTTTAGTGAGAAACAAATTTCTCCTCTGTTTCAGAATATATTTGGCTCATTCTCATTAAGTGCTTAGGTGTGATGGCTTAGTACTGATATGGTTTTGTGTAAATATTCATTCTAATCATCCCTGCACTTTCTGTTCAATCTTATGCCTTGACATTTCTCATTTAAAAATGGTTTGATTTTTCTATAATAATATTTAATAAAAGATATATTTTAAATGCTTCTCTCACTATCCAAACTTAAATTGTTGTAATTTATTAACACTTTGGAATACAGACCTAAGGTTGGTCTGTTTTTAAAGAAGAAAATCAGTAGATTATTGCAAAAATTGCAAAAGGAATTTTTTCAAAAAATTAAAGTATCAAAAAGTTATAGAAGTTTAAATGTACTGTAAATAAAATGCACTATATTAATTTTATTTTATTTTATTTACATAACAGGTTTTACTCTAAAATTGGTATAAAATTAAGCCATAACAAAAAAGAGCGCCAAGCGTCCCACAGGTGGGACGGTGACAGTTAAGGGGTAATATTAAACTCTAAAATATTTGAAAAATAATTCATAAAATACTTCATGCTTTTGGCAATCTGATTTTTTACCCCTCTATTTTCTGTTCAAACCTGCTATTTTATTTTTGTTTTGATTTGTTTTTTTTATCTAAAAATGGTTTGATATTTCTGACATCTGTTTCTTTACTGATTTTTTTTTTTTACTGAAAAATCACTGCGAAAACCCCCTTTTGGAACCTTTATTTGTAAGAGAGGGTTTTTTTTTTTTTTTTTTTTTTTTTGGAAAGCCTGAAACTATGGATAATGCCCAAGATATAGTTTCAGAAATGTTCATATATACGTACGGCACCATTTCCCATGAGAGTCAGCTCTACTTGAATTTGACAATAGTTACATGTAACTGATTATGCTGTAATTCAAGGTAATTTTCTTAAGATTCTAGCCTGTTCTAGAAACTGTTCCTATGTGTTGTACTCGTATACTAAATTGGCTACCCACAATGAGAGGAAGTGGCCACTTATGTACTGTTCACATCATCTCATATAAGCTAAAATTGTGTGGACTACTTGTGATTCAAAGTTCACCCACACACAATGAAATCCCAAAAGTTCATTTTAGTTACAAAAACGTTTAACTTCTAAGTGAAATTAAAAAAAAGAGAAAACACTGCTGCCTCAGCAGGAAGAGGACCATTTTGGAAACTGTTCATTTAAACCATTATGGATTCAAATAGAGCATCTATATGGTAAATACAGCATCACATATGAAACTGCTGGACAGCATAAAATGGCAAAAAAATCAGTGCACTTCTTATTGTGATCTGGTTTGAGTGCACAAAATTCAAGAAAAAAAAAAATACAAATCCCATTAATTTTTCAATCCCTCCAACCACCTGACTTCATTCTTGCATGTAACTCCACTTTTCCTTGTTGAATATGCTTGGTGTATTGTAGAAAACTAGTGGCTACGTGATATTAAAAGTGGGGGGGACACGTCCCCCGCGTCCCCCGCGTCCCCCACGTCCCCCGCATAATCTACGCCCCTGGCTACATGCGATGGGGTACTTACACTTCAGCCGGTGTTTTGGGGATAACTTCAATGACATACGCTCCAGAGGTGACATCTGGGAAATCACTCTGTTCTTCCTTTAGCTCTTTAGCAAGTCTGTGAGTGACACATACAGTACAGACATAAATATCATGTTTTCTGGTATCCAGCTTCTGCTATGTATATGTATAATGGAAAATAGAAATTGAAAATATTTGTTTAGATGGCTGATTTAACTGATTTAAATGTCTTTCCATAATCACAAATGCACAACAGTATTCAGAAAGCACATGCACTGCATTTGTGACTTACATTGGGGTTAATGTCATCATTCTTACACCGATATACTTCTTTTTTGTGGCTGTTTTTCCTGAAAACAAACATGAGATATTATTGATTGATACTTTTCTGAACTTTTGATTGGAAATGTTGTTCAAACAGAGTAAATGTTTTAGATTTAGCACATTTGATCCATAGTTTTGCTCCTGACCTTTAGACTGTCTGTCATGAGACTCGGCCAGGAACTGTCGGATCTTGTCAGAAGGAATTGCGAAGGATATTCCTGCTGTCACCTTCAGGGTGTTGATTCCTATCACTTCACCATCCTACAGCAACAGACACAAGAATCAAGACACAAATGTAAATGTGAACTCACACAAACACACCGCACATCTGCATGCACAGATGTCTTCCTGTCACAATGGGACGTTTCCGCCATTGATCATTATGCATGCACACGTGTTTATGGTCACGGCTGACTCAACACAGAGCCCTTCTGCCAACATATGTTTCTAGGCTCATAAAAACATGCTATAAACATGATCAACCCTGGCTGCATTCTGTTACACTTGATAATTCACTAAAAAATAAGACTCAAGCTGTTTCATTATTTACATATGAGAAGGACATAATAACAAAAAGCAAAAGTCTTACCAGGTTCACCAGGGGCCCTCCTGAATTACCGTACTGAAACACAGAAAGAGTTTGGGTTTATGAAAATGAGTGATTCATTTTTTTTCTCTTGATAATAAGGAGCTCTCATATAGAATAGAATAGAAAACATGTATTTTACAAGTAATAAGATTTTACATTATTAACTGTTTTTACTGTGTTTTTGATCAAATGAATGCCACCTTAGTAAGCATAAGAGACTCCTTTAAAAAAAAAAAATCTTAATGATTCCAAACTTAAAATGTAAATATGCTAAATATCACTATATTATATTTGTGCACTGTAAAATAGCTATTTATATCATGGTTTAATCTTTTAAATTATTTTATTTTTGACTTGAATTAGATTTGACTATTTTTAGGTTACCAACACACACACACGCACATTATTTTATAGTCTAAATCTAAATCATGGTAGAAATAGCTCTTTTAAAGTGAACATTGAAAAATGGCAACTTTCAAATTCAAGTCAAGTATTATTTACCATCATTGAATCAACCTAAATATATTAATTTATATTTAAAAACTCATTTTTTTATGGGATAAATCATGGTTAGTTATAACATAAGAATGGAAATATCATGATTAGAGGAAACAATAAGATTATGCTAAACTACTTAAAATTTTAATTCTTTTCATATTTTGTCTTCACTATGCATGTTCATTACTGAAGATGTGTATTTAAGTTACAGTCTAGTATCTTTTTTGTTTTGTTAATACATACAAATGAAACTAAGCATCATGTCACTGACCCACTTGGCCAACAAACTGTTTGTAGGCAGTGTATGATTAACTTTGTTTGGGCTCACATTGATGATGGCATCTGTCTGGATGTAGTCCATGTCAGAGTTTCGCAGGCCCAGCTCTTTGCCCCCTCTCTGGGTGGTGCTGACGATGCCTGTGGTCACTGTGTTTTGAAGGGAGAACGGACTTCCGATAGCAACCACAAACTCGCCTGGTCTCAGATCAGCTGACCGGCCCAACAACAGCACTGGGAGTTTCATCTGCAATATGAAATCAAATACAGCATAAGATTTTGGCACCATTGTCTCAAGCCATAATCCGTCCTTTGATTCAAATTATACTTTAAAAACAGAATTAAGGCCTAAAGATTTTGTAAAAAAGCAAGTATGTCTAATGAAAATAAGTTCTTCAGTATATCATTATTATGGTATTTATTTGGTCAAATAAATACAATTATTTAAAAATGTTAAATATTTTAACAACCATTAATTAAAGTAATAGTTTACACAAAAACTAAAATGTACTCATTAGCAGGCCATCCAAGATAAAGAAACAAACTCAAAAACATTTGGATGGCCTGACAGTGAATACATTTTCAGCAAATTTTGATTGGGTGAACTATTTCTATAAAGTAACGTAAAGTAAAGTAACATTAAATAAATAAATAAACAAAGAAATGAATAAATACAGATGTGAAATTACTGGGATCTAAGCAAAAGTCTATTTGATATCCATTTAATCTCATTGCTGTGCTAATCTCACAGCTGAGATTTTTGATGTAAGGAGATTCTTGGGTTGGGAGGAATAATGTCTTGTAAGTGTAGTAAGTGTATTTTCCTCAAGTGCTCTCTGGTATGGCAAGCTGAACTGACCGTAAGACAGAAAAACACACCCACAAAGCTTTCAACACCATACTTACACAGCTGGTATGAGGTTCTTCTTCTCAGTAGTTGGTTTTCCAAACATGAAGTCTGACATTGTGGCTAAACAGCTCTACCTTTATCTCTATGTGCTGAATTTGATGGGATGTCTTGCCCTGTACAGTGGTTTGAAATATTTAGCGTTCATAGATGATTTTGCAGATAATGAAAGGCCTCAAAGAGCCACATGAGAAAGCCGCACACCGCAGCTGCTCAGACTAAAGCAGACCATAGCTTTCTGATGTTTACATGAGGATGTGTCCTCCATGTTACTACCTAATTATCTTCTAATCATTTGCATGTCTTTTGATGCACCTGATTCCAGTTTTAGGTTTTTGATGACATTGGGCCCTATCATGCACCCGGCGCAATGCGACGCCAGGCGCAGCGCAAGTTTTTTTTTGCTAGTTTCAGCCCAACGCAGTTATCATTTTCACATCCAGCGCCACATTGTTTAAATAGAAAATGCACTTGCGCCCATCTGATTGCCCATGGGCGTGCTGGTCTGAAAACGAGGTGTGTTCAGGAGCATTGTTGGCGCGTTGCTATTTTAAGGCAGTTGAAAACGATTGCACCATTGACTAGGTCTAAAGTCAATGCCGCAGTATTTTTTACATTTATTTATTTAAAGGACGCGTTAGTAATATACGCTTATAGGCGGGTGCACAACGCACGTACACTCTGCTTTTTACACACGGGGATGCGCAGCAGAACACAAACATTCCAAATATTAAAAATGAAAGGATTACAACGTAAAAGATTATTATTGTGTAAAGATAAATATGCCTACATGTCAATGGACGGTCATTGCATGTATCAGAATTACCTATTTGCAGTAATTGCAAATGAAATTGGCTAATTATTTGACCAACCGTGGCAATACATACATTTCTGTCATGGCAACTCTCGGAGTGATTGGCATGGTAATGTACATGACAATGTTAATGTATTTAGACCATGCGCTTAGATCGTTAAAATAGGGCCCATTGGCTGGGTCGGCTAAAGGCAGTTGCCTTGTTGCCTCACTACCAACCCAGGCTCATTAGAAAAAGTGTATGTTGTGCCAAAATTATATTACTTTGCTTCTTGCATGTTTCACAACACATTCAAAGTGAAACGTCCAGTGAGTGGTGCTAAAAGTGCTAGAGTTTTATCACATTGGTTGTTGTACATATCTCATTAGTTTGGAAATTAAATGGTGAATGAACTAAAATGTTCATGCTCTACAGCAGGGTTCCTCAAATCTTGCCCTGGAGGGCCAATGCGCTGCAGAGTTTAGCTCCAACCCTGATCAAACTCACCTACCTGTGGTTTTCTAATGATCCTGAAGATATTGATTAGTTTGCTCAGGTGCAGTGAATTGTATGTACATGTTTTTAGAGATTTGCAGGAATGTAGGTAAAGGCAGATTTTCCAGTGAGTCTATGTTGCTTTCTACTCTGCTAGTCATCATAGTTTTTGTATAAAGGTACTTTCTTGTGAAACTGGTTTTAGAGTGACTGTAAGGCATCATAATGTCATATATAACGACCTAGGACAAGAACAAGTGAGCATTAGAGATAACCAGATGAATACTTTATGACTTCAGTAATGTGATATTTTCTGACTTCTCAATAGAAAACAGGGAATGGGGGGGGGGGACATTTATGAATTCTTCTTTCAACTACTCCATCAGACTTTTTCATTCTTTCCATGTTTGGTGTGCACCAAGGTTAGGATGGCAGCGTTCACACTTATTCAACTGAACCACACAAACAGAAGAATCTTTTGAATCGGACCAAACCTGCCAAGTGTGAACATGCCTTTATATAAATCAGTCTTGAGATTTCAACACCATTCCCCTTCTGGCAACAGGAAAAGAGGGAGGAAATGAAGACAAAAGTGCAGCGAGAAACAGAAGTGGCTGCTCATATCATCAAGCTGGGCCCGGATGGAAAACATATCTGTTGAAGCTCACAAAACCTTTCAGATGTGTAATCTGAAAAAAAAAAAGGAATAAAAATAAATTACTGACTGTATTAAAAGTATTATTTTTACGGGATGTCCTTCTAACGCCTCATCACATACTGCTATCTATCTGCGTGTACACTGGTATGTACAGCTGTCAGCTTGTAGCCTAAAGATAATTCCAGATGCTGGAATAGAAATTATGGTATTCTTATTAAGGGTAAAGAAGATTTTCAGAAAAGCTGGAATGACATTTGGCAAACATGTTATCTGTGTGCTAAGTTAAGCATTACTATTACTATTGCTTATACTTTGGCTTAGTGTTTTGAACAAAGCCCTAAGATAAAGTGCTAAACCTTTTTCATGTAACTCGTCCTGCACTGTGCTACAGAAATTAAAATGAATAAAGAGGCTGCATAATTATTCAAAATAAATCTGAAATTGTATTTTCAGTATTTTAATTACTAGTGTAAAATAAAATGATTATAATAATCAAAATATATATATATATATATATTTTTTTTATTATTATTTTAGGGAACACCAGTAGTATAATTCTGTCTTTCTTTTTTAAATCATTGGAGTTAAAACTAATAATAACTATTATATTATATTATATTATATTATATTTAGTGCTGTCAAACGATTAATCGTGATTAAACGCATCTATAATAAAAGTTTTTGTTTACATACTATGTGTGTATGCTGTGTATATTTATTATTGTTTATATAAATACAAACACATGCATGTATGCATTTAAGAAACATATGTTATGTTTATATATTAAATATATTTATATAATTTATAAAATATAAGAATATGAATATATAAATGTATAAACATGTAAATATTTCCAAAATATATACTGTATGTGTGTGTATTTATATATACATTATAAATATACACAGTACACATATAATGTAAACACAAACTTTTATTTTGGATGCGATTAATCGTGATTAATTGTTTGACAGCACTAATTATATTATATTGTATTATATTGTATTATATTATATTATTACATATTATTAGTTTTTCCAAATTTGTATGACTTTCTTTCTTATGTGGAACTATCCAACACACACACAAGTGGGATGAGAAAACATACAAAAGATATCTCATAGTATTACATTTTAATTACTAAAAATCAAATAAAAATGTGCCCCGATGAAATGTACAAGACAAAAGAAGGTCTTAAGGGTTAACTGAAAACCTAACAGAGGGTAGAGGAGGACAGATACGAGAAAACAAGCCCATATTTTTGAAAGTGAGTGGAGGGAGTAATCCCAGCTGAGCATTCCATTCAGTCTTGTTTGCAGATGCACAATCAATGCTTAGCTAAAGATAACATGCTACTGTTCTACTTCTTCACTCACTCCCACAACCTCTGACTGCATCTGACAGCCTACAATCATGTTCTTAAAGCCAGCAGGCTGCGTCCTGCACCAATTTTGGCCTTGCTAAATTTAGTCTTCAAATTATATGTGCTTTTGTGTGTAAAACAATATATGTTATATGCAGTGTTGGGGGTAACTCATTACATACGTAATGCATTACTTTCCATAAAAAGTAACTAAGTAGCGTAATTAGTTACTTTTTTTATGGAGTAATGCAATATTGTAATGCATTACTTTTAAAAGTAACTTTCCCCAACACTGGTTATATGTACCGACCATCCCTTCTCTAGTTTCTCTGACACTGCACCTGTTCGAATTGTCTTAGAAAGACATCATTTGAGTCATCTTTTGCTCTTGTTATTGCACCAGCATAAAACAGAAAGAGATAATGGTGAAATTGTGCCTTCCTCCTAAATTTTAAATACCACTTATTACCGACATGCAATAGTCTTGTAACAATGCTCATGCTTCTAACTTCCTGTTTCAATAAGAAATAGGTCAGTGAAGGACAGAAAACAACATTCATCAAATCATTTGATTTTGGTCTTTAATGATGAGGATTTTTCTCCTCATTGGTTTTAAACATCTCTAAGTAGAGATGTTTAATTTCTGCATCAGCTTGAAATCTGACAATTTACCCCTTGCTGAGTGTTACTCAATAAGTATAGGACATTGACATTTAGTTCTGATTGTACCAGCGGAAGAGCTGAACTGTGCAAACTGGTGAAGGATGATCAGGTGATCACGTACAAACATGAGGGGATGAGGGACAGCAAATGACGATCAAGGACTCCTTGTGAAACTGGAAGTAGAGTAGAATCGCACCTATTTTTAATTATTTAAATAATTTTAAATATATACATATTATATTAAATCATAATATTTAAATATGATTGTATTATAATTTTTTTTTTTTACATTTATTGTACTTTATTCCTTTTTTTTATTTTTTTAAAGAATTTTATATAGTATATGCCTACAACTCTACATAGTTT